ATCTTTGTTTCCACCTGTGTGATGAATTCTAATTAGAAAATATTTTAATTTGGAAAAAAAATCTAGAATCCAATTTGAGTAAGTGGAGGTAATGGGGTCTGACTTTATATGACCAGAGTTCAGAAAAACGTCAAAACTCAAAAGCAGTCCAATTAGAAGCAAATCAAGTTCAAACCCAATAGAGATATTTAATGGGCATCAATCATCATGACGTGGAATAAATTTATTGGCTGTATAATCCACCGTAAGAAATGCGCGCCCAGGTTCCCTTGGTGGCCATAAAGTGAAGGATAATTCAAAGAACAAAAAAGTACAGTCTCTGCCAATCCATAACCTCATCTCTATATCTCCCGCACTCATGACTCACTGAAAAACACCCCACCCGTCAAAAAATCTTTCATCAAGCAAAATCCATGGCGAGAACTCTAATTCCATCACAGCCGTTCATCGGCTCACCATTTCCATCATCAGAAATATTTCGCCATGGTGATCTCTATATGCTCCCTATACGTAGACTTGCCTCCACCAGAGTCCGACTAAGCTTCAGCGAAATCCCTCCTATTACTTCACTGAACTCTTCCGTCGATTTCCATGCACTTTTTACCAAAACAGAGAGCTTCCTATACACTCTCGCCGACGCTGCTGTTGCGGCCGATCCGAATATTTAGCTCCTGAATTGCTGAGTTTTTTTTGTTGTTGTTGTTTTAGAACCAAATTAATGTATGTTGTTACTTTGCAAATTTACTCCTATTGTGCTCTGAAATTTTTTGAAGACTTAGTTTAGTAGGTAAGCTAAGCATACTTTTGTTAATTGGTTCATGTCAGTAGTTTAGTAAGTCAGTCTTCAAATTTCTCTATTTTATAAATTACAAATGTCCGTGGATTAACGTTTTAACAAGTAAAATTTTGATTGAATTTCATGGACACTAGTTTAGGAATGAAATGGTACGTACCGACAACCGAAGTATCTACTAAATGCCATCAGTTTGGCATTAAAGAAGGCGCGTTTACCGACGCATGCATCCTATCATGAAGCGTCATCATGATTCCATTTTGAGCACACAAGGTTAATACCAACATAATCAGAGATGAATACAAAATTTAATGTTATGATGCAATTTTATAAATGTTTAGAAGATAAAATTATATTGTTAATAAAATATAAAGTTAAACTATATGAAGATTTAATTTTTTCTTAATTGACATCTAACAAGATGGAGTTCAGAACAATATATCCAAAGCCTCTTTCATTATTTGCAAAATGGTATCTTGTTTTATAACAAGAAATGAAAAGGTTGAGATGTGCTTCTTGGAGTCTAAATTAATCAATTTATTCAGTTTTCTTAATTGACATCTAACAAGATTGAGTTCCGAGTTTATATCCAAAACCATTTTTCCTTATTTTAATAAGAAATTAAAATAATGAAACTGATAACTTATAAAGAGATTTCCAATCACTGTAACTTATAAAGATTATTCTACAAAATAGAAAACACTCGACGCTTTAATGCAAATTCTTTTTTCTACCCTCTCATTTTAACAATTAAATTTAACTTTTTTTATTAATAACAATTAAATTTAATGTGCAGGGTTTGGACCTTTGGCCTCAAGGAATTCGTGACTAGATATTCAAATACCAAAAGAAGTCCTTAATTTCACCATATTATTTAAATAACAACCCCAATATTTCTTTTATGCTTAAAGAAAAATTTAACCTCTGCGTTTTACCTTAGTAAGCCCTTATTTCAGGATTAAGGTTGGTTTATATCAAGTGATTATTTGAGTATAATAAAAAAGGTTACAAACTTCTTTGGGTGGAAGCTAAATGTAAGGGGTTATTAGATTACAAGTTAATATGCTAAGAGTTTATTTAAGTATACAGAAAGCAAGACTTATTAAATAGAATAGAAAAAAGTAGAGACTATCTTAGTCGTCGTATTTGTATATCCACATCTAATTGGATGTAATTATAGAATTGTTTGAAAAATTATTATAATTTATGGATATTAAATTAAATATAATTAGACATTCCAATTATTCTCTACAACTTTTAGGAAGAGATAAGAATTAATATAATTATGTGTGATTATAATCTTTATTTTTTATAGACGTTATATTATTGTGTTATTATTATTACTATTACCAGGATCGTATAACAAATAATAATATTTTTACGGTGCATACAATGATGGATTGAAAGAAGATAGAGATAACAATTATCCTCCTACAAATTTTAAATTCGCATATATTTTAGATATATTTTTTTATTTATAATATATTTAAGCTCCTTAAAATTTTATAAATTCATCCCTCCTAAATATTTTAAAAATTCACCGCTAATATAAAATTACATATATACATAACTAACTCACAATTTATTATTAATACAACTACAAACCAGAATTTTTTTATAATATATTATATTAAACCATAATGATTTTTTCACTAATTTTATTAGGTCTAAAGATGCCTCAAAATTATGGATGACAATTTAATTTAAAATAGATGGGTTATGATCCGATTTAATTTAATAGGTCATATTTTAGTTTTAAAAAATTGAGTTCAGATCGAGTCGGATTTTATAAAGGAATAAGGTTGAGTTCAGGTGAAGGGTGAAAAAACTCCGAATCGACCTGACCTGAAGGTAATAAAGTAATTTTTTTAAATAAATTTATAGGTAACTGTTATAATGGCGCCTCTCTATTATTTTTTATTTAAATCTTTTTTTATTAGGTCATATTGAGTTAGATTATAATTTAAAAATTTAAATCAGGTCAAGTAAAATATAAATATTTTTTAAATCAAATTAGATTCAAATGAAATATATATATTTTTGAGACACATCGAATTGATAAAAAATAAACTCGACCTGTTGCGATACCTACTTAAAATGTTGAAAGAAGCTATCGTATCATAATAGTTTTGGAATTTTGGGTTTCGCTGGAGAGTTAGCGGTTAGCCTCGTCTCTTTCTTCTCCTCCGGAGTGACTGTCTTTTGACATCTGTTTCCATCGTGAAATAGACTTTGCACAGAAAAGCGTGACCATCAAACAGGAGAAATGAATTATCTTTAACTTTTCTTTTTGCAAATAAACCCACAATGATCTCATGCACGGAGTTAATTGCGTGACTTTATCTTTTTCCCACAAGCTTCTCCTTTTTTGTTTATTAACAAATATTTATGCATAATTAACATAATACTTTTACTGAATTTTGAAGTTAATTACCTCATACATTCCGAGATCCAAGTTTTAAATAAGTCAAAAAATTTAAAATTTTAAATCATTAGTATTGTATTAGTTACATTTTTTTATTAAAATGTGTTTTAGTGTTTATTACTAAATTTTAATTTTAATTTGATGTAAAACGTATTTATAGTACATGTATATTAGTATATAATTTTAAATCCATTACAAGGATAAAATAAATCTAACGCGTTAAATAACAATGCCATTAAAATTTAATAATTTTATTTTTAAATATAGTAATTAAATTAATTATCAACGTCGTAAATAATACATAATTTGCGAATTAAGTAAACTGAATTGATAGGGTCATCTTCGCCTCTGCAATATAGATCCGGATTAGTTAATTAACAGATCGAATATTGGTGGCTATACCAAAATATGATCAATTTTATATTTGTATTAATATTTAAAGTCTAAATTGACTAATAGAAAACTCTTTTGATATTTTAAGGATTGAATTAAAATATTTTAGAATTAAAATTAATTTATATAATTAGATAAAGTGTTCTTTTATTCTTTTTAAAGCTGTTGCAGTTTATTTTCAAAAAAAAAAAAAAAAAAGCTGTTGGAGTTCAATTTTAGGAGGCCAACTTAAATTAAAGAGAGATATCTTTGTTATTAAGAAAGCAAACATAAGGTTATCTCAAAACATGGACGATGAAGGTAAAAAGTGATGATGTGTAAAGCAACCTTTGAATGTCCAAAATATTTTTTAAAGTGGTCCTATTCATGAAAGTTAAGTGATCCGATAATGATGATTATTTTGTCTCAAAAAAATGTGTAAAATTATATTTTATAAAATTTTATTGATAATAATTATGGATAGAATGATAAAAACTATGTATAATGTAAGATATTTAGAAATGTAAGATATTTTAAAAATAAAAATATAAAAAATAAAATATTGATATTAATATTACTTATATCTTAAAATAAAAATATTTATATTTTTTAATTAAATTAATATCTGATCAATTCATGATCTTAAATTTAAAATTCTATTTAATAATATAAATATATATTTACATTTGATAATATCTACTAAAATCATTTCGTTTTCAGCAAACTGGAATACCATGGTCCTTAGAATTCGAAGAATTTATTGCTTGATTCTAAAAAATATATATACCGAAAATAATTAATACTATCACCTAGAACAAGCATAGTAAAACCGAGGTCAAAATCCTCCTAATCACATCTGAATACATTTTTATTTTTATATAATTTACGTATGAATTATAGTTTATGTTAGAGATATGTGCTGTTTTCTTTTTTCCAAAATATCTTTTTTTGAGATTCAAATATACTTTTTATTAAAAATATAAAATATCTTACTATTAAACCAAATGATTATTTAAATAAAAAGATTAAAAAACTAAAAAAAAGCTAGGTTTAGCTTATCCCTTAAGCAGTCGTATTGATGCCTGACCTTTATCCTTAGGTTTGTAAAATATGGTGCAAAAATATAATTTAAAATTTTTGAACCAACATTGGGACTGTTGGACTAATTTTATCGGTAGCCTAATTTAAGACCAGTAAAGAGGTAACTAAAAATGTAAAGAAAAAATATTAATATTTTTAGTTAAGCGTAACTTAAAATATTATTTTTTTTATTTTTTTGTTGAAGTCGAAAATGTTTTGAAGAATATAATTTTTTCAATTGCCAACTAAGGGTATTTCAGTATTTTCACTGTTGTAATTGTATATATAAGAACCGCTACCTAAATTCGACCTATTCTTGATGCACTCAAACGATGGCTTCTTCCTTTTTCTTTTGTGCGACTGTTTTTCTTTTGTGCACCTTTGCTAAAGCTACTCAGCCACCTGGTCTCACTTTAACAGTTGTCAACAACTGTCCCTTCACCATTTACCCAGCTATCCAACCCAACGCCGGTCACCCTGTCCTCGAAAAAGGCGGTTTCTCCCTTCAAACCTTGACCCACCGTTCCTTCCCCGCACCCACAGCCCACTGGTCCGGTCGTATCTGGGCTCGAACAGGTTGCACCAACTCCAACGGCCAATTCTATTGCGCCACCGGAGATTGCGGCCACCGCATAGAGTGCAATGGCCTGGGTGGCGCAACCCCAGTGACGCTGGCGCAGTTCAGCCTCCACCACGGAGGCGAAAAAGACCTCTCTTCCTACGAAGTCAGCCTCGTCGACGGTTTTAACCTCCCTATGACAGTGACCCCACATGAAGGCAAAGGCGTTTGCCCCGTCGTCGGGTGTAGGGCTAATCTGCTCGCCACGTGTCCAAACGAGTTACAATTCAGGTGGCCGATGGGTAAAGGCCCGGTGGTGGGTTGCAAGAGTGGGTGCGGAGCCTTTGGTACGGACGAGCTTTGTTGTAGGAACCATTACAATAGTCCAGAGACGTGTAAGGGTTCGAGTTATTCAGAATTTTTCAAGCACGCTTGCCCCGCCACGTTTACGTATGCGCATGATAGCCCATCGCTCATGCACGACTGTTCTTCCCCACGTGAACTTAAGGTTATCTTTTGTCACTAGCTTAGCTACAAGGCAACACAAAGATGAAATAAAACTTTTAGACCCATATATGTGTGTGTTATGTTTGTTTTTAAGTTGGATTGAAGAATCAATGGTGTTGAACTGTAATAGGTAGGGTATGCTTCAGTTTAAATGAAATACTTGTTTGTTTCTTTGTTTAGATGTGTGCTTAAGCTTTATTGATATTAAAAAGAAGATTATAGAAGGTTGATTTTCATTCAAAAGTAAAGATGAGAATCACTTTTTGAAAATGCAAAATGGCTCCTTATTCTCTCTTTTCTTTATTATTTGCTGTTTTAATACGATCTTTCATAAATGTGTTACAAAACTTTCATTTATTTCTCATTTATGTTTGATTTACCTTTTGTTTAATTGTATCCATTTAATTTTGTCAAATATTTTTAATGAAATTAACGCAAAGCGGGAAATAAATAAGTACAATCTTAAATCTGAATGAATTTCGACTCACATCACATGCCCTCAACAACTAATTTCAAAAAAGAAAGAAACGAGAAAAAAATCATTAAAAAATGAGCTTGAATATACACCATAAAAATGAGAAATAAAACAATCTACGCATTTGGAGTTAAACTCAAATAAATAAGTGAACAATACAAATGATAAACTACACGCATCCCCCTTCCATAGATCTATTAAATTGTTTTTTCACCAAGCACAAGCGTTTCACTTAAGTTTGATAGAGCTAGAATTTACAGTATTTCCAGTAGTGTCGACGAGATTGCTTTGAAACACCGATGCATCCATATTGAGACATTCCAGCCAGCATCAGGCCCCTTCCATTGCTCGATTACAAGTTGCCTTCATTTCAAACTTTGTTGTATAGGTAGTGCTTGTTCCATGCAAGAATCCTTTGAAAGACAACATCAATGTGATCACCAACCCTCTTTTTTAAATTTTTTAGCTTCCAAATTTGTCACGAAAGAGAAGCGAAAACGATTTTCCAAAGGATCTCATTGGGCAATAAAGAAAAGTTAGAAATTTTCGTCGATATCCATTCTTGAATTGCAGCCGATAACAACATCTTTTATTATTGATACTGTTTAATGAGTTTCTCATTCGTTTCGTTATCGATCGATCTTTAATTGTTAATTGTAAGAGATTAGAAAGTAAAACTAACTTGAATGTTATTTTAATAACCAAAATTCAAAAGCTATCCTTTTAAAACACTAGTCCCTATGTAAATCACCTCTAAAATATCAATCCCAATTTAATATTTTAACCTAATTCATTTTAATTTGTATGGAAAATGTAGGTGCCAGAGAAAGTGCCATAGTCCATAGTAACTAAGAGAATGAAGTAGAAATCAACATCTGAATTAACGGGAACGTCACTAAATTATAGATTAATAAATTTATGCTATAAGATGACAACAAATAATGGTAGTATAAACAAAATAATTAAATTTTTACTGATAGAAAAAAATCACATAAAAATAATTTCATTAATATAAAAAATAAAATGATATAAAAGAATTTATATTTTTTACACATCAGATTAACTTCAAATTTTTGTACGTATTTTACCACGAAATAATAATTATATAATTTTTCTTTTTTATATAATAATCTATATGAATTATATTATTTTATAACAAACTTTGTCTAATAAAATTAGGGTAAACTATATAAATGGTTATCAAGCTTTTAAGACGCTTGCACTTTCGTCCCTCAACTTTTTAAACATACAATACAATCACTAAACTTTTAGTTCATTTTCAGTAAGGTCCCTAACTTTATCTCCCGTTAGTTCTATCTAACGTGTCATGTTACCTCCCGAAAGAATGATGTATTATTTTATCGTTAGATTGAGATTAGAGAAGGCTAAAAGTTAAAAAATATATATTTGATAAATTGAAGAATGAGATTTGAAAAATAGAGAAAAATATAATTTAATTTAATTTGGTATTAAATGAACAAATACAAGAGATGAAAGAAGATGAACGAAAATTAAAAGTTTTATGAAATTAAAAAAAAAGACCCAAATTATAAATATAAAAATTGAGGGCATGAGCAGTAACTTAAGATGCTCCCCTTAGAACTGGCCCTAGATACGATTAAAAGAATTATTGATGATGTTTGAAATATACGAATTCAACATATCTCACGTAAACGAAATCAAGTGACAGACGCATTGGAAAAAATAACTTGTAAACAACTCATAGGAGAAGAGTTATTTGATGTACCTCTAATGTAACAACTATTGTGGCTCATAAGATGATTTAATAGAAGTATTTTTCTAGTAAAAAAAGTTACTGTGCATTCATTTATACCTTGGATTAAATTAGGGGTGTAAATTAATCGAGCTTAAACGAATAATATTGTGCTCGTATTTGTTTATTTATTTTTGAAGGTGTTTGTGTTCGTTTGTTTTGTGTTCGCGAACATGTTAGTTTAATGTTTGTTAACATGTTCGTTTATATATTCGCAAACATTTTGTTTAGCGTTATCGAATATGTTCGTTTAATATTTGTTTAGTATTCGATTATATATTCACAAACATGTTCATTTGTAAGCTAAAATTGATAAAATTACACTACTAGTGCTTAAACTCCTTAAATTTCATAGTTTAAACTCAAAATTTCACCAGGTGTTCGATTTACACCCTATATTCACTAATATTTAAAATGTAAAAAAAAAATTAAACGAGTCAATAAATGAGCTTGTTCGTGAACATAAACTAACCGAACACATCTCTATTCATGTTCATTCGTTTATTTATATAAATTTTTTGTTCATACTCATTTTAAGTTAATAAAATGAACATAAACAAATATTAAACGAAATGTTCACGAACAATTCACAAGCGCTTTATTCATTTACGACCTAGATTAAATCAGACTGCCACTATAAGAAAAGTTTATTTGGGTTTGATCAACATGTTATGTATGCATGCATGTATGTATGTATATATATATATATATATAAAAGTTCGATTAATACAATTATGGATATAAATTTTATTATTAATTAATTTGTTTTTTTATCAAATTAATCAAACTGAATCATTCAAAATACATTGATTTAATCAATTAATTTGATTTTTAACTGAATTTTAGGAACCCTACTGGTACTTTTCAAAGAAAAATTAAAGAAAAAAAGGAAAAACTTCGGTTTCGATCAATGCCGTATGCCAATGTTTTAAAGGGTATATATTGGGCTTGCTTTCCAAGTTTCGTTATCATATTTGTATTGGGCTCGGTTTTTCATATCAGGGGATTACATCCATCTCTGTCGGGGAAAACCGAGCGACCGACCGCGAAAATGACCCTGCGTTAGGAGCATATCGGCAATTCCTATAAATCACGTGTCTTTGTATCATTGGACAGACTATTAAGTCTTTTGTGGTCTAGCACCGCGAAAAGGTGCCTTCGAATTTTTTAACCGCTTGCTTTTTTTTAATGAATTAAATCTTATTAATTATTAAATTTTATTTTTTATAATATTATTATCACATGACATATTATAGTTTTATCAGTGTCATTTGTAGTTATTTTAAAAGAAAAAATATTAAAATTTTAAATTTATTAAGAAATTAATAAAATTTTAAGATATTACATAAATATCATAATATAACACGTACCGCCAATTAATCTAAAATTTTATTATATAATTATTACTATCGATAAATAAAATATAAAAATTTAATTTTGATGAAAAATATCTAGATAATTAATTAATAGCGTTTAGAAGTTAAAGGAATTTGAACAGCTTAAAACTTAAATAAATAAAATGAAACACTAAAGTATCTCACTCAGCGAGAACAGAACAGAAAATGGAAGAGAAATTTTATTTATTTATTTTAAAAAGAAAACTATTATCTCGCAAGGTTTCATTGAGAGAGCCAAATAATTCCCTCTTCCATTTTCATTTTTGGGTACTTTTGTTGCCCTATATTTTCTCTCCCTAAACTACCAAGAGAAGCCATGGTGAGTGTTTTTTTTCTTCTTCTTATTTTTTGGCTGTTATTTTCTTTTCCATTTTCACTTAAAGTCTTTGTTTCGATCTATCATTCCTTGACTTGCTTAGAGCATTTAATTTACTTTAGATCTGATTTATCATGTATGTTGAACATGGAGCTCCATGTTTCGGCTGATCAACGTAGTCTGAATCTTTGAAAAAAAAATTCATTGCTGGATTTGCATTTTGTTTTACTTTTTTTCCTCTAATGGATGATTTTTATGAAAGTAATTTCATTCTTCGATTATTGTTTGATCTCCCGCTTGATGCTGTATTGGCGTTTTGGATTGTTACACTTTGAATGGAATTTGAAGAATTTATTATGGATAAAAAGATTGCTGAACTTAATCTTCGCTGATCAGTCATTTCGATTCCTCTGAAAAGTCGTGTTTTTGGATTGACATATTAATAAACATTGTGAATCACAATGTTTAACTAACTATAGATCGTATTGAATGTAATTTTATTAATCTGTTACACTTTTTGGCTTTTGTTTCAGAATGGGATTCTTTTTTATCAATTTTCTAGTATCCGTAGTTTATAAATGGTGTTTTCTGAATTTCGTTGTATTGTTTAATTATTTTTTTATCCCAACAAACGTATGTGCATCACTGCTGAATCGATTTCCTGTTTCTGACCAATGACATGCCTTCTCAACTACCTTTATTATCGTTGTTGTTGCTGCTTAACTTTATCACAAAGGAAGTAATTAGGTTCATCTTTCTGAGTGGTTGGTCCCAGTTAATTAGTACTCTTAAGATTGGAATATTGCATTTAAACCTGTTAAATGTTTAAGAAGTTTGTGTAATTTCAAATTTATGGTTCATTGTCAAAAGTCAAAACCCGGGGGGAAATGTGGGATTGGATCTATGGGGTTGACCTGGTTGTTTTGAGTCATTGACCTATCTTTTTGTTCTTTTTTAAATGAGAGATTGAGAATGTGTGTTGTTTTTAATCAGCCTGTTTAGTATTTCATTTCTCAGGAATGGTTAGAGAAGGTTAAATAAAAAAAGTGAAGCTGATGGATTATTGGTCATATATAATTTGAAGGGGTCATTGTTGTATGAAAGCTTATGTATTCTATGAACTATTCCTTTACAGGCTAATGCAGCTTCTGGAATGGCTGTCCATGATGACTGCAAGTTGAAATTTCTGGAGTTGAAGGCTAAAAGAACTTATCGTTTCATAATATTCAAGATCGAGGAGAAACAAAAGCAGGTTGTCGTGGAAAAGCTTGGCGAGCCAACTCAAAGCTACGAAGATTTCACTGCAAGCCTCCCTGCTGATGAATGTCGATATGCTGTATATGATTTCGACTTTGTGACAGCTGAGAATTGCCAGAAAAGCAGGATTTTCTTCATTGCATGGTATATATTACATGCTTAAAACTATTAGTACTTTTTTATTATTCTCAAGCTGTATACATTCTAATCTTTGCTGTTTATGTTTTTTGTTGTATATTTCAAGGTCTCCAGACTCATCAAGGGTGAGAAGTAAGATGATTTATGCAAGCTCGAAGGACCATTTCAAGAGAGAGTTGGACGGTATTCAAGCAGAGCTGCAGGCAACTGACCCGACCGAGATGGGACTCGATGTTATTAGAAGCCGCTCCAATTAAATCGGAGTCTCCAAGCAAGAATAATGGAGGTAGTGAAATGTTAATAGGTGGTGGTTGGGGTGTATGATTTTGGTTTGTTGTTCAAATATTACTTTCGAGTCTGTCTAGAACAATTTTAGCGATTTCCATTTAAATCTTATGATTTTGTTATGCATGCGTGAGGTTGACGGAATTTCTTACAGTTGGGTATCTAATACTCTTTTTTTAGGGTTTTTCCCTCATTGCAACTATTCATAATGGATGTTGGTTACTTATATAAATCTTGGTCAAATTACAATTTTGGTCCCTCCATATTTATGTTTGAATTTTATTTTTATATTTAATTTAACATAGATTTATCCTTTTATTTTTATAATGTTATAAATATATTCAAATAGTTATACAATTATTCCAGTTAAAATATTGGCCTAAATTTTCAACAAGAGCGCGTTGCCTTGGTGAAAGCTTATTACCAATTGCCAATAATCTTTTTCTATGGCAATTCATTTTCATTGAAGGTATATGAGGCTCTTTTTGTCGTGTTTGCTACTCTTACATATGAAAAATATGATCTAAAGAATGGCAATGTTTTCATTATCATTGAATGAATGGTGAGGCTTCCGGTGAACCCTTTGCCATCCATCACCCAAAGCCCCACAATCTTCTCAGTTCACAAGGTACACCACACAAAAAGAAATCTAGTGTACTATCTTTTCGAGCTATATAAGACCGAGTCTTCGCCTAAACTTCATGCAGTCGTCTTCTGCTCGGCAAAGAATTAACTTGGTTCTCATCCTGTAAAATGGCGTATCATTCAAAATGAACATGTTTTTCATGCAGTCTACTTGTCAATGTTCGAATATGAATACTTCAAACGAGTTCCACGAACAAGAGTATCATGCGTAGCCTTGTTTGGCTTAACGCCTCTTCTAAACATGTCGTCGCGTAATTCAAAAGCCTTATTCAATTCTCCAGCAACGCAACAACCATATATCAGAAAATTATATGCCAGTGTATCTGGCATTATACCCTTATTTAGCATCGAGTCCCACAACCGAATAGCTTCGTGTAAACTACCTCTTCTAGAGTGCTCATAAATTATAGTTGAATAAGTAATACAATCTGGGAAAATACCGTTGTCAGCCATTCCATCTAAAAGCTCCATGGCCTCCTCAAGTCTTCCTAACTTGCAAAAGCCACGGATAAGTATGTTGTAAGTGACTGTGTTAGCTAAAACCCCTGTAACAATTGCGTTGTGAAGATCTACAGCTTTCTCCATATTCCCTTCCTTAGTGACACGATCGATGAAACATCCATATGTTATCTGGTTCGGAAGCAAATTACTGACCAGCATTTCTTTACAAAGAAGCTCAGCTTTATCGATGAAACCTGCCTTACATAAGCCATTTATCAGAGCAGTATATGTCACAACATTAGGGATGCATCCTTCACCAATCATAATATCCCAAAGCCCAAAAGCCTCCCTAAGATTTCCGGTTTTCCCATTTGCATCAATCATGCTCGTGTATATCACATTGTCAGGGCTCAATCCTTGATCATTCATCTCCTTTAAAAGGTCAAGTAACCTTCTTGTGTCGTGCCGTTTTAGAGTTCCATCAATAAGTATGCCGTAGCATACAAGATCCATATCAATGCCTCGTTCAACCATGTCACGACAAGCACTCAATGCATCCTCTATTTTCCCTTCCTTGCAATAACCATGTAGCAGTGCACTATAACACATCTCATTTAACTTACGTTGATCTCTATGAAGACCATCCATGAACTCTTTGGCTTCGGACACTCTACCAACAGAACAAAGACCACTTATTAAAGGTCTATAAGTATATGTATCAGGCACAAGACCTTTTTCTACCATTTCGCTGAACAATTCAAAGGCTTTTACCATGTTACCATCCCTGCAGTATCCCTCGATCAAAACATTGTATGTCACCTCATTTGGCATAATGTTTCTCTCTACCATTTGACCAAACAATCTAATTGCCTCATCCATCATATTTGCCCGACAAAGGCCAGATATAAGAGCAGTAAATGTATACGTGTTTGGAGCAATTGCCTTCTCTGTCATCTCATGGTATAGCCTAAACGCCTTACACAATTTTCCTTCATTGCAATATCCACTTACCAATGATGTGTAAGTTATCACAGTTGGCTGCAATCCTTCGCTAATCATCTCATAGAGAAAAGACTCTGCCAAATTCAAATATCCCAACTTGCAGTACCCACTGATCAAAGAATTGTAGGGATAAACTGTTGCTTTTATTCCTGCCCCGCTCATTTTACAAAGAAAGCTAAGTGCAACATCCATTTCACCTCTTCTACAAATGAATCAATCAAAATAGAAAAAGTAACATCATTTGGATGCAAGCCCCTTCTTCCCATTTCATTGAAAAGCAACTTTGCTTCGTTAAATTTCCCTTTTTTGCACAATGAATTGATCAATGCATTGTAAACAAACAAATTAGGTGCTAATCCAACTTCCCCTACTTTTTTTACCAAACTAAGAGCATTCTCAAGTTTCCCCTTTCTCCTCAACCCGTCAACTAGACTCGTAACCACAGCTTCACTTGGAACAAAACCAAACTTTAGCATCTCGTTCATCAACTCTACGGCAACATCAAAGTGATCCACTCTGCATAAGCCAAGGACTAATGTATTATACGTGATAACATCTGCTTTCAATCCCCTTTTAACCAATCCATTCTTAATCTCAACTGCCTCCCACACCCTAAGATTCTTACAGAGCCCATGAATGAGCACATTATACACCGCCACATTCAACTCGGTACCATTCGACTCCATTAGATGAATCATTTCTTTAGCTCTAACAAAATCCTTCAATTCGCAAAAACTGCCAATCACCACTGTGTTTATGAAAATATCAGGCCTAACACCAGCTTTCACAATCTCATCAAACACTTCCAAAATAATGCCGAACTGCCTAATTTTTGCTAAGTCGTTCAAAAGAGCACTTAGAGTCCTAATTTGAGGTAGCAAATAACTATTAAACTTCCTCGTTAATCTAAATATCATTAAAGCATCAAGAGCTCTCTTATTCTGCACATAATTTTGGATCAACAAATCAAAACCCAAACCCAAACTCGAAGGAAACTTACATTTCTCATGAGCCTTCGAAAGAGCCTCAAAAACCTCACTCGGACTCAACCCACGAAGCAAAAGCGTTTGTAAAAGCGATGACGCGGGCCAGAAGAGGTTAAAGTTAAGTAAAGCGTGAATCAAGACGCAAAACGACTCGGGTGAGTGGTGGAAGTTTTTGTGGAGTCCCAGGAAGTTAAAGAACCTTAAAGCTAACCTCGGGTCGTCCAAGGTTTGGATCAAGACTTCCTCGACGTGGTGAGTCTTCAGGAAATCGGTGTCGTTTAATGCGACCTTCCAGCTTTGTCTTCCACGTAAAATGAGTTTGAGATTGGAAATAATTTGGGTGTCTTTGGCTTTTTCATCATTATCTTGAACGGGAACTTTTAGTGCAGAACAAAATCTCCGTTTTGAGAACAAATTACGGATTTTGAGAGGTCGATAAGAGGGATTTAAATTCATTTCATAAGGTTCAAAAGAGAGTTTTTCTCTTGGGTTTCAACCATGGATTTGGGGGATTGCAGAGAGGGGAGCTTTTATGAGAATTCGGCTTTCAGTGGTGGAGTTTGCTTGCGAACGTCACGGGACAGCCGGAGAAGCAAAAGATGTGGATCTTGATCTTGAGAAAGAGGTTACTTAGTCCACTTTGAAATTGAACCACTCTAGCCCACTTAATCTAGGAGATAAGGCCTCCTTTGCTTGGACCGGTCTCTACAAGGCTGAAAAGGCACTCAAAGAGGGATTTTTTTTGAGGATTGGATTTGGAGGGTTAACTCGTATTTATTGGCGGATCTAAAAGTTAAAAAATAAAAATTTAAAATTTTAATATTTTTTTTAAATAATGGTTTTTTTTTAAATTTTTTCCCTTAACATGTTAAACTAAATTTAACAATTTCCCCAAATAATAAGATGCACTTGGCCTCTAGGAGGCTTAGTGCATCCGCCCTCACTCGAAAACAGTGACGAATCTAGAAACTTAAGAATAAAGTTCTAAAATTTAAATTTTATTTTTTTAAAAATAAAGGGTATGTAATTCTTTTTTATTTTTTTCTTTTTTCTTTAATACATTAAATTTAATTTAATAATTTTTTTAAAATAATGGGATGCACTTGTACCGTTAGTAAGTATAGTGCATCCGCCCCTACTCGTATTCACGGAGACCGTACATTTTCTTTTCCTTATGTTGATTGCCCAGTTTTGTCTCTCATCTCCAAAGATTTCACGATTCATGAAAGATCAATTTGGAACTCCGCCAAAATTAAAGCAGTTTTCATGGAAAAGGACGAGGTGACCATCATGGACATTCTCATTTCACCTGTTGGAGAAGATGTTCTTATATGGGAGCACCATAATACGGGATATTACTCGACCAAGTCCAGATACAATTAACTCCTATTAAAGGTGGGTAGGGAGAATGATCCCTCGATCATTTGGAAGTCGTTGACGAAGCTGTCAACCCTCCCTAAAATAAATATTTTCGGGTGAAGAATTTGTCACAATGCACTTCCTACCGAGGGAAACTCGTGGAAGATGGACTAAGGAACAAACTTTGTCCTTCGTGTAAAATAAAAAATGAAACAGTTCTGCATGCTCTCAAGGAATGTTCTTATGCACCAACCATTCTCTCTCTCTCTCAGGTTTGAGCAGTTCAGTCATATTAGATCAAGCATGTTCTTGTAAGACTTGGCTCGAACGGGCTGAAGCAGCTTTGAAGCGTGATGATTTTTTTCCTGTTGATTGTTTTGATATGGAACATTTGGAACATGAGAAATAAATGGCTACATGATAATGAACTCCAAACAGATCGCATGGAGCCTTGTAGGTGAAATCAATGGGTTGTCATTAAAAGTGGGTCCCTCGTTGCAGCCAAAATCCTTGGCTGGTGCAAGAAGATGGAAAAGACCACCGATGTGGCATGTTAAGATCAATGTTGACGGGTCGTTCATTGCTAATTCGGGGGAGGCAGCGATAGGGATTGTGGCCTGCCACCATCATGGAATGGTGCTGGATGGATTGGTAATAAAACGTGATCCTGCCCAAAATCCGAAGTCTACGGAGGTAATGGCTTTCACCTATGGGATTCGTTTTGCCACGGAAAACAATTGGGACAGAGTCATCGTCGAAAGAGATGTAATTCCGGTTGTTAATCGCTTGGCTAACCTCCATGCAAGATATTATCTCCACAATTATAAAAATTTACGAGGCTTAGAATACACTCACATATCACCCAAATGTCAAGGTATTCTACGTCAACCGAGAGACAAATAGAGCTACTCACTCGTTGACGCGTTAGGTTTTGTCAAGAACCAAATCTTATTGATTTTATCTTGCTGAATCTAAATAATACTAAATCTGATGCATTATTTGATGCCATTGGTATTGAATGAAAGTATTTCATTTCTAAAAAACAAAATTCAGCATTTTTACCTAAATATATCATTTTAAAAAAATATTATTAAATTAACCCTTAAAATTAATTATTAAAATGACACTCATTTATATTATGGAGAATAAAGATATGTCATATCATTCACATTTAATGGAGGATCGTTGTACTAGTGTATGGTATAAATGAATCAGATATATGAAACTTATTTTCCACTGAATCTGTATTTTATGAAAAAAATGTTTTTTTATAGAAAAAACATCAATCGAAAGATTAAGCAAATTAATCTCAGTGACCATAGGGAAAAATACAGGGGTTAACATATATTTTATTGATGAAGGATAAAATTATTACATTATATGGAAAATAATTATTTTATAGACGTATGGAGAGAAAATGATAAATGGGCAATAAACTTTTAATTTTAATCTTCATAATTTATAGCCTCTTCACATATTATATTGAGTTCTTTAATATTTTGCGTATTTTCTTCTCGTTTTCTATACTTCTATCTTGTATGTTTATTTGCCTACATAATTCGAAATAAGCTTCACCTCACAAATGATTTTTATCTTAAGGGTGCATTTGGTTCACGGAATGTAAGATTACCGGCGAAAATAAGATTACCGGAATGTAACATTACCTAACACATTACTGTGAATGTTGCATTGTTGTGTTTGGTTCGTTTAGCAGAAATGTAAGATTACAGTGTTTGGTTAAAAGAATAAAAATTATTGGAATATATTTTACCAAATTGTCCTTATTATATTTGTTTTTTAACAAGTTGAATTCTACTATAATTCTACTATAATTAATTTATATATTTTCTATAAAAAAAATTTAAATTCATAAAATTTATATAATTTTTTTTACAAAATTGAAAAGATAAATAGGTTTAATGAAAGGGTAAAATTTTATTTTAACCCCTAAACTTCATATAAAATTCTAATTATAGACTTTTTTTGTAAATCTAAAATAGTTTAAGGATAAATTTGTAATTTAACCTTTGTAAAAAAAATTTATTCAACGACATAAGAAGAATATTTTTGGGAAAAAAAATTTAAGGGTAATTTAGTCCAAAACGTCGGGAATGTAACAATACCTAAGGGAAGGGGGAATCACATTCCCGATAATAAGCCCCCAAAATATCACGGTTGAGAATAACTTATTATCGGGAGTTCGGAATGCTTACAATCTAAACGGGGATTGACAATTCATTCCCCCGATAATCCAAGATTACCTAAACCAAACTCCCCCTAAATACACGAATATCCATATAATAATGTGAAATGTAAGTTTCAAATCAGCATACCTTTTGCTAAGATTTCTTCTCCTGCTTTCATCTCTAGCTTCCTTTTTTTTCGAAGGCTTAATCATAAAATAAGTGTCTAAATTATAGTGTTTTTCACGAATAGGTACCTATAGTATTTTCTTGAATAATCTTAGTGCTTAACATTACAAACGTTATAACTTTAGGTACCCGAGCCGTAATCGCTGTTAATTTTCTCTGTTAAGTGACACGTGTCACATTCGAGTATTTTTAAAAAATTTATTTGGAATTAAAAAATTAAAATTATATATTTTTAAAAACACACAAAAATTTGAAATAACCCAACACTTTGAAAACCTTCATTCCAACCTTTAAACACATGTCGGATGTCGCCCTTTTCCATCGACGAAGCTCCACCCAACCTCACTATCCTCATCAATAAATACCCCTATGAAATTGCGACCGATCGACGATCAATAGACGTTTTGTACCTCGCGAACCCTATGATAAAAATCGCGATTCAGACAACCAATCGACGACAACTACGGGGGCGTATGACTAGTAGGATGACAGAGACTAAGTCGGTATCGGTAGTCGTGGCCGAAAAGGGCAACGAGGCGGGTTAGAATTATGATTTTTATGAATTTGAGAATTTTTCGTAATTTAAGAGAAATTAGAGTTTTCTTTTATAAATATAATATATTTTAATTTAAATTACCAGAATGTGACACTTGTCATTTAACGGAGAAAACTAATGACAGTTACGACCCGATCACAGAAAGTGTTAACGTTTGTAACATTAGACATCGAAATAATTCAAACAATACTATATACACATATTCGTGAAAAACGGTATAATATGAGGATTTATTTTATAATTAAGCCTTTTTAGAATAATGGTATTTTTTTTTCCTACCATATTCCCTCCTATCCCCATATCTCTATTCAAGTTAAAAAGGTGTCTTTTAGCATGTATCTCTTGTCCTTATTTCACTTTAGGTATCCCTTATTTTGAGTACCTTTGTGTTATGAATTCCAATGTGGCCATATTCATGTTGAAGTAATAAGAAAAAATCTTTCATTTTAGAATTAGTTTACTTAATAATTATCATTAAAATAAATAACATCATTGACACACACAAAAATGAGATAAAAATATGATTACATTAATAAAAGGTGCATGGGAAAGAAACAGTGTTTTGAAAACTGGATCGGACCAGTCGGTTCAACCGAAAATCGCCGTCTGGTCCGGTTCATTCTACACCGTTTAAACCACTACTAGTGAATTAAAATAAACCGTTGAACCGACTGTAAACCGTTCAAACCGGATCGGACCGTGAACCGGTTGAAAACCAGTTTTGTTTTTTTTCTTCTAAAAATAATTAAATCAAACGACATCGTTTGTTAAACGAGCCGAGTCGAACTCGAAAACTTTAAAAGTAAGCTCAACTCGACTCAAAAACTCACGAGCTAAAAATTATCAAGTTCAACTCGAACTTGAAATATAATATTGAAACTTGAACTCAAAAAGGCTCGAACTTTAAAAAAATTTAGAAGCTCGATTGAAGCCTGAAATTCGAGCTCGATTGAAGCGAAAGAATAGTTCGCTCTGTGCTAATCAAAATGCTCCATGATTTTGAATGCCAAATTACCTCTATTATTTATAGAAGTCAGTTGGGATGTTCTTCTATGTTTCTTAGTCATGTGGGATTGTTTTGTTTTCATATCTTTACTCTTTAGACTTTTGTGATATTCTTATATGTTTCTTAGTCATGTGAGATTTAAAAAAAAAAATAAACCAAACGACATCGTTTGTTATGATTTTTTTAGCCCCAAATTTATTTTTTGATTATAGTTATATAATTATATTTATTATTTAATATGTTTTACCTTAAATATTATGTTGTAGTTGATTTAAATCATTTTGTTTCTCTTGATTTTATGGTTTTTAATTTATATATGTTATAACTTGCTTTGAATATGACTTGTGATATAAAAATTGTTTTTATTAAATGTTTTTTTATATATTTTTATTTAATTTTTTTAAATAATTAATTAATTATGACGTCGTCCGATTAAACCAATAAACCGGTAACACGATCGGTTTGCTGACCTGTCGGGTCCTGAAAACCATGGAAAGAAAGGTTCAAGAACATAATTTCAACAAGAAAAATAGAAAAATCTCATTGAACAGCAATAAAGTGCCCTAATATTAAATGTGTAAACATTTCTACACGGTTTGTACAAACTCGAAGCTTTATTTTGTAGATTGTAGGCCTTCATAAATATTCTTAGTGTGTCATATTTCTCTAATTTATTGGGTTTTGTGATGATCGTCTTTTATACATCAGTTGTTTAATCTTTGGTTTAAAATTAATCAAACATAAGTTTAAATATAGTGTTACAAATTTTAATCTGATGAATCAAAATAAAATTATGAAAATAATTATTTTTATTAATTTAAAATAATTAAAATATAATATAATTCAATTAACATTTATAATATTTGAATCTGAAACTTTTGAAAATATTGATAATATTTATATCGTTAAAGTCGTTGATGCAATTATGAAAATAGTCGAATGACTCAAGTTTATTTTCAATACCCCTCGGTAAAGTTAAAACTTTGAATGCAATATCCATTTTGATGGAGGGTAATTCTTTTTCACTTGAATGACTTCCAAAATCGTTTCGATATTCGATATTCGAAATTCGAAATTCAAGACTCTATCCATCTGTGCTCAATGATCCGAGGCCAATAATGCCTCAAATAAAAGTCCGCCACGTATCAACCTTAGTTTCCCACTCTAAGCTGTTATTGACGCATATTTCCAGGCGGCCGATCCAAATTAAAAATCCAACATCCACAAAAACTCCACGTCATCGATCCGAGTCCCTTTAAACCGTCCAACCAGACTGTTCCGTTTTCTCCTATATTTCCCAATCTTTCAAACCACAATCAATCTCCACAAAATCTTCAAAATTTCCTTATCTTCCTTTCACTCAACTTTCGTTGCTTTCCCAATCAAAAGAGAAGTGAATTCCCCATGGCGCCCAAAGCAGAGAAGAAGCCAGCTGAGAAGAAGCCGGCCGAGGAAAAAAAGACAACTGTCGCCGAGAAAGCCCCAGCGGAGAAGAAGCCAAAAGCCGGGAAGAAGCTTCCCAAAGAAGGCGCCGCCGCTGGAGACAAGAAAAAGAAGAAGGCCAAGAAGAGTGTCGAGACGTACAAGATCTACATCTTCAAGGTCCTTAAACAAGTCCACCCTGATATCGGGATTTCAAGCAAAGCCATGGGAATCATGAACAGTTTCATCAACGATATCTTCGAGAAGCTTGCTCAAGAAGCCTCTAGACTAGCGAGGTACAACAAGAAGCCAACGATCACTTCCAGGGAAATCCAGACCGCTGTTAGACTTGTACTTCCCGGAGAACTTGCCAAACACGCCGTATCCGAAGGCACTAAGGCAGTAACTAAGTTCACCAGCTCTTAAAATTAGGAAATCAGGTTTGCTGTAATCTGGGTGAATTTGGGATTTTAGGGTTAGAGTTTTACGAAATCTCAGATTGTTAGTGCCTTTATGTTTCGCTTAATGTTGTTTTGTTGGTGTGAAGTAAATGTCAATGATGGAATTCGGAATAAATCTCTTTGTTATCGAAGTGGCGTTGTCCCTTTCGTAGACGTGTTGATAAATAACTACGCCACTTGATTAAGCAAATGATTATGCAAATGTTGGGCTGCTTGATATCCTCCCATTTTCTGGTTTTAAACCACAAGTGAAGTCTTTTGGTTATGATTGTAAAGCAGACTAATATAGTGCAGCACTCGATTGATATTTCAATTAAAATTTTACAAAATTATATGGTACATAGATATGGACATTTGGTGTTAAAATATTCACTTGATCGAATCCTTCTCCCCAATAAGAGTCAAAGCTTAAAAGGAATCCACTATCAGACTTTGTTTATTGTTGCTAATGCTATAATGGATTGTTAAAGTTGCATTTATATCATCTCTAATTAGGTTTGTGCCCAGTTTTATTACCAGTTTCAAATAATTATTCGAGAAAAGAAAGCGTTGCACAACCGTCAATTTGAAGCGGTCAACGACGTCACAAGAAGTTTAAATAAACGTGCTATCAAGTCCCCCCATTCCGGCCTTAAAAATCTGTAACGGCAAACGAAAACCAAAATCATCATCTCACCTGTCACCACCACGATCCCCTTCATCAAAACCATGTTGTTCCCTTCTCTCAACTCGATACAGCGGCAAATCATGGCCCGGTGCCCCAACTTACTCCACGCTCTTACATGGACTGCTCTGTTGGCGTCAATGGTAAGCGTAGCATCGTTTTCTTCAGAGGTGGCCTTTGTATCAGCGATATCTCCATCATCTTCCTTCTCTAAATCCTGCAACCTAGAAGGCCTTGTAAGGATTCCTTTAGACTTCCCAAGAGAGAAAATTTGCTTGCCTGCTCACATGGTGAAGAGATCAAAGGTGGATTTTTTTGTGCCTACCGTCTTCGCAGGCCTCGTTGTTGCTGGTTCTGCCTGTGTGGTTCGATCTCTGGCGTTGTGGGACAATGAATGAGTTGTAAATCTTTAGGAGAATAAATAGTATTTTTCTGATTCTCGTTGTATTCAACAACACTGGGAATGTTATAACATACATATATACTTTACCAAGGACTTGTTGATGTAACTGAACTCCATGAACATTTTTTTTAAAAAATTTGCTGCATTTTCTGTATTTGCCTCTTCTTTTTTTTCTGCAGGAAGAACTTTTGGTTGGCTTGAAATGACGACTGCCCATTTCCTAGGATTAGAATCACTGTATAAAGATTATAATAATTTTTGCAATGAATCGGCAGGAAAATTTTGGGATCCTTCAATTTTTGTAAAGTAAACAGATATGGATTTCAAGCTTTAAGGGTGTGTTTGGTACATGAAATGTAGCATTATCCCAGGAATAGGATTAGCGGAATGTAATATTACTTAACACATTACTGAGAATGTTGCATTGTTGTGTTTAGTTCGTTTAGCAGGATTGTAAAATTACAACGTTTAGTTAAAAGAATAAAAAAATTATTGCAAAGTATATTTCACCAAATTGTCCTTATATCGGTTTTTTAACAAATTTAATTGTAAATATTCAAATGAAAAATATTTGTATAAAATATAATAGAAAATATATAATTTTACTATTTTTAATTTATACATTTTCTTTAAAAAAAATTAAATTCATAAAATTTATATAATTTTTTACAAAATTTAAAAGATAAATATATTTAATGAAAGGGTTTAATTTTATTTTAACCCATGAATTTCATATAAAATTCTAATTATGAACTTTTTTTTGTAAATCTAAAATAGTTTAAGGATAAATTTATAATTTAACCTTCGTAGAATTTTTTTATTCAACGACAGAAGAAGGATATTTTTGAGAAAAAAATTCTGTTAAGGGCATTTTAGTCCAAAACGCCAGGAATGTATCAATACCTAAGTAATTGGGGGAATCACATTCTCGGTAATAACTCCCAAAATGGCACTGTTGTGAATGACTTATTACCGAGGGTTGAGAATCTTTGCAATCCAAACTGGGGAATCACATTCCCGAAAAAAATATTCCCTTCGATAATCTCACATACTCCCATCCAAACGCACCCTAAAGCTTTTATTTTATTACTCGTTGACTATACACATAGGGTTGAAATGATAAAATTACTCTTAAAAAATTGAGTTTTTTTTAATTTAAAAATAAAAATAACGTATAGATTATTTATACTAAAATTTTTAAAATGACCTTTCAAATAAGATAATTTAAAAACATAAAAACAACAACACAGAACTGGTAAGTACTTATAAGTTTTGTAGTTAGTAAAATTCAACAAAGAGAAATAAAAACAAAATAAATATTGACGCCAAAAGGACTCGAAACTGGTGACCTACAGATTGTAAGTCTTAACTCTTACGTGTTAGCCCCAATTACACAAAAACCCTATACTAGCAAGCTCTTTCATAAAATTCAATTAAAAAGATAAGAATGGCGTCGCCCGGGCTCGAACCGGAGACCTTCAGTGTGTTAGACTGACGTGATAACCAACTACACCACGACACCTTATTGTCTAGGGATTCACAATTAGTTTTAATAAATATATAAAGTATAAACATAATAATGTGAGTAGCCGACTTAATCCTCCGCTGCTTTTTCTTTTATACTTTGGATACAAATCGCTTCTTTGTTCTTCCTTTTGGCGGAACCCTATCTCTGCTCCTTCCATCTTTCTCTCTCTCCTTTGTTCTTTTATTTATCTCTCTAAAGTGTTTTCTTCTTTTCTAACTAAAAGAAGATTAAAATATGTCAAGTGCTTTAGAGATGTCACTAGATGACCTCATCAAGCGTAACCGTAAGTCCGGATCCGGTAATCCCCGCGGTCGAGGCCGTGGATCTGGAGCTGGTCCCGTCCGTCATTTTCCTAACCGAGGACGAAGCCGCTCGGCACCGTATGCCACCGCTATGGTACATAGCTAGGGATTTAGATCTATTATGCTTATCTGTGTTTTTGTTTGATATTTTAGTTTTTATTCAATTTTTGTCAACTAAGTTTGTTTAATTTTGTTCAGGCGCCGGAGACGACGTGGAAGCACGACATGTATTCGGATAAGGGAGCGGCGTTCCAAGGTCAAGCTGATCGGGCCTCCGCAATAGAAACTGGAACGAAGCTCTACATCTCTAATTTAGATTATGGAGTTTCTAACGACGACATCAAGGTATTCTTAGTAGCTGTTTTCCGCTGTGTTATTATTCAGTAGTAATTGCAGTATTTCTCTTCTGTTTTAATATGTTATTATGTTACCGGCGATATTGATTTGGATTTTATTTCTCTATAACTTATATCGTGATTCTAAGGCTTTTCTTTTTCTAGCGAATAGTTATAGTTTTTAAATTTGAATTTTTTACTTTATTTGAATAAAGTCTAGATAGACTTTGTGATACTTCAAAAAAGAAAAAAAATCGTTAGGATCAATATTCTGCTCTTGTTAGAGTTTTATATTTGTCTTTCTAATGTAGACGTGTTCATGTACAGGAGTTATTTTCCGAGGTTGGCGACCTGAAACGATATGCAATTCATTATGATTGGACTGGTAGATCGAAGGTATTTAAATGAGTTTTGGTATTAACTAGTCCTTTTGATGAAATTCTTTGAAACACAGTGTAAATGTAATTTAGAACAAAAAAAACCCTTCTCCCAGGGAACAGCAGAAGTTATCTTCTCACGGAAAGCTGATGCTATAGCTGCAGTCAAGAGATACAACGATGTTCAGCTCGATGGGAAGCCAATGAAAATTGAGATTGTGGGAACAAACATTGCTACTCGTGCAGCTCCTGCTGCACCTATATTTGCTAATGTTGCCTTCGGAAATTCAAATGGAGTTCCAAGGGGGTATGGTTTTTAATAAGTTATACGACCCTTGTTTTATTCAATAGTTTAGATTCTATCAATGCTTATGCTTTTTCTTTTGATTGCCAATATTTTCAGTTATCTAGCGTTTCTGAAAGTTTCTAAATGTAAAATTTATCTTTGGATTAATTTAGGCAGAAATTCCATCTTAAGTATGAATTTATTTGAAAATTCCAGTTTTGTATTAGCAGTAGTGTGATGGCCAGAGAGATGTTTTCACTTGATGCTTCATACAGCAATTCATATTTTGCAAGTGTCTGTTCCTTTAGTGTTACTGTCTGACAAATCGGTACCAAACCTACATTTATGTTGGTGAAATATGTGTGGTGGTCATTTGTTCCATTTCATTCTTTTCTGTTATAAACAGTTTTTGGTTACTATCTGATCTTTATGTGCTTATTTTACAGTGGCCGTGGCAGGGGTGGAGGATTTCGTAGGCAACCTGGTGTTGCTGGAGGCCGTGGTTTTGGAAGGGGCCGTGGAAGGGGAAGGGGCCGTGGAGAGAAGGTTTCTGCAGAAGATCTTGATGCTGATCTAGAGCAGTATCATACTGAAGCAATGCAGACAAATTGAATGAATGCTCATGTTCTGTTGGTTGGCTTCAAGTCTTTTTCTACTATGGACATTATGTGCTTGATGCTCAATTACTTTGTGTATCTCTGCTAAACTCACTCTTTAGAGGAACTAGTCATGGAGAGAACTGTTAGTGTCTTGAGTTTTATGGAGTTTGGGCTTTTACTGTTGATTGTCCCTTTGACTTGGGTATAAAGAACGTGGATTAGTGGAAAGCTATCATTTTGTAATCTTCAATTATGCTTTTGGTTCCATTGAAATTGACTCGTACCATAAGCGAGGAATGAAAAAACTCTCTTGGTTTTCCATATGCAAAGGAAACTTTGGCTGCATACTGTGGGGGGAGTAATCTTGCCGTCGCCCAAAGCTTGTATTGCCATTTGGTTGCTCCCGCATTTTGGAACAGGGGAGACTGCAACCCAGGTAGATTCCTTTTATGTTCTTATTTTAGCTTTTCTTAATTTTGTCCTTATTATTGGGATGGATTGGTTTTCCTATTTAGGCTTCATTCTATTATTGCTAAGGTAATATTATTTCCCCCATAATCTATGAAGTCTGCTGGTGTTGCATATCGTAGTCGACCGTTGTTACATGTTTCTTCAGTTCAACCAGTTGGTTTCTTGGTGGAGCAAGGCTGTTGACTGCTTTTTGCATATAGGAGCTTGTTTTCAAGTTGAAATGGTTATAGAAATTTGTTGGTACACTATTACTCAAGTTTTTCTTACAGTTTCTATAGAAAGTGAATGAAGTGTAGCTTCCTCGATGTATATGCCTCCATTTTTTTTAGGTTTGAGGAAGTCGAAGAGTTTGAAAAATGGGTGTTAAAAACTGGAATTCACTGATCTTTGTAGTTAGGGGTTGAATATACTTAAAGAAGAGCTAAGATTTAAATGGTGTGAACTTTCATGACTTTTTGTCATTCTGTGAGTTGCAATGCTATTGCTCGTAGTAAATTTTTAATTCAGCACGAAGAATCAATACTTACTCTGATTCAAGTTTAGAAAATTGAGAGTGAACAGTGCTTATTTGGTTCTCATTGTTGGTATCCCCACGAGTCATTGCTATGGAAGCTAGCCCCCCAACCCTAGGACAGTGAAGATGGTGAGAGCTGGTTTCCTGTTTTACGGATTGCTTATTTCTTGAACCTGTTAGTCTTGTCTTCGTCTTAATTGATAGCCCCTAAAGATTATTGGTTTCTAGCCATTTTTGTTTTATATGACTAGGCATTTCTATGTTACCAATTTAGAAGTGCGTCTCAAGGAATGTTGTGTTAATTCATTTGGTTTAATAAGGGTCTGTTCCCGTTATTTTTTGAAAGGTGCAATTTTTAAAATTGTTTGTTTTAAATTTTAAGTGTTTTTAGTAAATAAAATATTTATTTTAGATAGTCTCTCGTATAAATGTACGCTTCTGTTTTACAAAATGATAAAATTATGAATTTTAACTTTTATAAAATTATGAATTTTAACTTTTAATACTTACTTTTCAGCCTAAATTAAAAAGTATTTTAACTTAAAAGATCCTGTTTCTTATTGAGATTCTAAGTATACAAGATGGCATGAACTAAGGTGGTGATTAAGGGATTTGTTATCTCTTGAGATTCAGAAATTGAGCACGAACACCACGTATGGTAGAGATATAACCGTTTATTGTCAAAGGGTATGGTAAGGATATACCAGTTTATTGTATAAGTGTTACAAATCTTGATGATTAAAAGATTTATTGTTATCTCTTGAGATTTTAAATTCGAGCGTCGCATGTGATAAGGGTATGTATGTTTATTGTTCCGTTACCAATTTTAGTTTTACATGATGTGATTTTGAACCCTCTCATTCTCTGTGATCTTACATTTATCTTCAGAAGAAGGATATTCTTTCCAATTTGGCAAAAATATTTTCGGTTTAATCTTTTATTAATAGGATTCTTTCCCGAAACAATATCCTATGGGGCATTGAATTTCAGGGGATGCACTCATGAACTGATTGTATTGGATTCAGAGTTTCATGTCAAATCTTGCATTGAACTGAAATTGGTCTCTTATTAAATAAACATACCGAACGAAGAGGTTAGTAAAACTGTTGACGTATTTAAATCTGGATTAGTCGTCTAATGGTCAAGGCAAATCAATCCATGGAATTTCTAGTCAAGGATACCAGGCAGCTAAGTCCAAGTTCGGTTAAACCCTCTTTCAATACTATTAAGAAAAAAAAAGATTAACGATTCTTATATGAATTCAGTTATTTCGGAAACATTAAAATTAATTAAAACACGTACTCATAGCAAAAAACATTTTATATACAGGAGGACCAGGACTGGCACTTAACACATGTAATCATACAACCTAGAGTTGAAAGCATAACTTGCTGCATCAATGTTCCAAATACTAGAGAGGATGGGGATGGATTAAGCCGTTCTGGGCGCTCTAAGTCTCTCCCACCTAGAATAGACAAACCCCAACAAGGAATAGAAGACGGCCTTTATAAAAGACACTATAAAGTTCCAACATGAAGATGGCCAATACCAGGGATATAACAGTCTAAAGAAAAAACTTATTAGATGTCGAGGGTAACGTCCTACCTGCAAAACTAACAATAACAACTGTCGTGATATGCCTAAAAAGAAACATTTTCTGTTACCATTGACGCATACCATAGACTTATCTAGGTTTCGCAAAATCACTGAACCTGCTGCAGCCTGACCTGATCTTATAGCTATACTCAAATAAACATCTAAAAGGGTTGTTCAAATAAAATCCTAGCATTTTAAGACGGTCAAATAAGGGCTTAAGGTTTTCAAATCTGCTTAAGTACGAGCCTAACTTTCAGTCGAATAAGAGCCTACCATTTTTGAATATGCGCAAATAAAGAACTAAAGTTTTTTACATCAATATTTTTCAATTATTCTTTGACAGATTTGAAAATCAAGGGTGAATGAGGTGCGGAGTGAATTTTCAATTAAAAGTTTCAAGTTCAAGTCAAGTTAATTTATTCTTTTAATAATGAATAATATACCATTTTTGAATATGCGCAAATAAAGAACTAAAGTTTTTTACATCAATATTTTTCAATTATTCTTTGACAGATTTGAAAATCAAGGGTGAATGAGGTGCGGAGTGAATTTTCAATTAAAAGTTTCAAGTTCAAGTCAAGTTAATTTATTCTTTTAATAATGAATAATATAAAAAATATACATATAATATTTTTGGACGGGTCGAGTTGGGAATTGAGGATTTTTCTTTAGAGGTTGGGGGTCAACATGACAAAGAAACCACCCCGCCCCATTGCTCTTGCCATCCCTGGATTTGCCTAATAAGGCAGATGACAAACAAAAATCATATCCCAATAGAAGCATCTTGTAGGAGTCTACTATAAGATTCTACATACATGTAAACACGAACATCTTATAAATATGCATCAGAGAAACTTTGATGCAAGTGATTGGGTACTTAGATCATTTATGGGTTACTACCGTCCATTAGCATACCATTAAGGCCACGGATAGCTCAGTTAATAAAGTCTACTTAACACAGTTCATTCAACCAAGTCCTGACAAACTCTATTTCAGAAGATGAAGAGCAATGTTTGGTTTGTTTTCTTTCAGAAAGACGAGTCTCTGTAAAGAGCAGTTCAAAAGGGTACTCACAGGAAAAAGGAAATCTAAGGCACCCCAAGATGCATGACGGACATCCCTTGTAGGATATATTGGACCACCAGGTGAAGTAAAGCTATACAGACAGGTTTTCAGCCTTGTACTTGTCGCCATTCTCAGTTCCATGCCTGCAGAAATTAAAAATTAAGGTCATATTTGTGTATTCAAATACCCCATAATCTTAGAAGAAGTCAATGGTAATAATTAATACCTTGGAGAACCTTAATCTGCGAAAGATAATGCAGTAGGACTGGCTCCACCTTTAATTTTTGAAGCAGGCAAAAGAAAATTTTCCAAAATGTGAATATGTTGATCATTGCAACGGCTTTCAATTAAGGTGATAATGTTAAATAGGATCATTAAACATATGCCATGCAATCATGGAAATATGAAATTACCTGGTCAGTTAGTTCAATAACTACTATATCTGCTGGTCCACCAACCAGGAAAGCATTTGGAAAAGCAGGGCATTGCTTAACAAAGCTTTCAATTTGTCAACTGCATAGAATAACATGTCATAAGGAATATCCCTATGCAAATTATATTTCAAAATCAAGGTTCCAAAGGGGGGAAATCCAACCTGAGTTGTAAAATAATATGAACCTTGAAAGTAGAAGGTACAGATCTCGCTGGGCCTGAAAAATCACACAAATTCTAGAGTCAGTTTTAGATGATAAATGTCGCTAAGGAATCTTGATTAGAAAACAGAAAGTATACAAAGATCCAGAACTTGGCATTATCTTCTTTCTGATATGCCAAAACAGGAGAGCAAAATATTTGACCTGTACTGGAATTTTATTTAACTGTGCTGACTCCAATGCTACTTCGTCAAGGAGGTACTAAGTCTATAAAAGAAGAAAAGTGTTGATAGATAGATTCTCCAAAATAAAAAATGAACAGAAACATGCACTTCAAAGAGCTATATGTTTCTTTTAGGTTTTACCTGAAAGAGAGATTGAGAACGCCTTGTATTGGATTGCGCATCCATCATGCATACAAGCACAAAAATCCTCACCGCCTTGTAAGTGATGCCACTTTTTCAACAAGCATGACCATCATCATCCAAATTCTAAAAGTATTGGCATTTGGAAACATAACAAAAATCGTACTTAAGCATTACCGATTTGCATTCATACCAGAAAACATTTGTTGCACCCTCAACAAGTGCAGAGGAATAACCTAGTTGTATGTCTGCATTATCCAGTTGAACTTCGAATAACTGTAGAAGAAATATATTGTTCAATGTAAAGAACCTCATCAAAAGTGAACCAAAAGATCATTCACTGATTTAAAACAACACTTGCTCAGTCAAGAATGTTATGATATCTTAGTTGAAGAAATAAATGGAAAATAAAACGGCAAGTATAAAAATGAGTAATAACCAGTTACTAGTAGAAGCAAAAATTATTACTAACTAGCACTACTTCATGATATATACAAATGTGACATAACTAGATCTTTTATGGTAATTTTAAGCCACAGAACTCTTGATACATAGACTTCCATACTTGGAGTACATCAAAACCCCAACTACATTTAGAGACTGTTAGCAGGAACTATGTATTAGTAGGGAAAAACAGTAAGAACTACACTATAATGTAGATTTTTCAAATATAAATTAGTTTGGTAACTTGTCACATCTCTATTTTGCTTTATTACTTTATCTGGTTAGGAAAACTCAAAATTATACCTGGCCCAGCCACCAACCAGGGGCGGAGATTAGTGAGGATTAAAATTTGTATATTCGGTATAATTTTGGTCTATTAATATTTTGGTTCATGTAAAAATAAATATTTAAATTAAAAAATATAAGAATTTATTAAATATTTAATCAAGTAAGGAACGAACTAAAGAAAGATATTCTCATGTTCTCAAAATTTTTGGTCTAATAACAATTTAGGTCATTATAAGTTTAAATATTAGACAAATTAGGTGTTATCTTGTGAATTTTGAGTTTTTTTTTGTTTTGTTTTTATAAATCTATGGTGAATACAAGAAATATTTGTACGAAAACTCTTAACTATTGGACAATGAATGCTCATACCCCTACATGCGCAGTGCTCGAACTCGAGACCCCAAGGATAATAACAATCTCTTAATCACTAAGATCGCTTGATTCGTGCTGAATTTTGAGTTTAAATTTCTAATAAGTATTTATATTTTCTTAAATATTCTTATATTTTAGCCCCTTTCAATATTTAGTTATGGCCCCGTCTTGCCACCAACCATCCACAAAGTTGATAGC